GGGAAAGAGCCAATTGCCTCAGAAATACACACATGAGAAGAGCAAATTGATTATCCCAGCATAACTGTGCAGTGAGAAAACCTTACCAGAGTTAAATATGGGCACCAGATGCCAAGGTCTCGTTTTGGACTGTGGGTCAGCTTAGCGTGAAATCCGGCACACATCAAGTCACCACCACTTGTACTGGGCACGTCTGCTGAAGTACGGCCTTTGGGCAACAACTGGGCTAAGCTCAGTTGTGTTAAATTCTGTAAAAACACAAAAGAAATTACAGTCCTAGCTGCACACTGGAAAACTCAGCACCTCACCATTAAAAGAGGTACACATGTTATTTCATTTATCTAGTGAATTTATGAAGTTGTATTATGAAAGCATAAAGCACTGACTCCTTTGATGTCTTTTTAAAAAAGTCCGCAACATAGATCGTTTTGAGCTCTAACAAGAAGTCTGCGAACTTGTATCAAATTATTTTCAATACCTCCTTTAATGCCTTGGGGTTGTTAAGCATCCGGCAATACCCACTATATTAGACAATATCTTTGAATTTGGGAGTGTCTGGCTTAATAAAAAAGATCTAAGAGATGGCACCTACAGGAAGACTTACTATTTTATGAAGACTTTTATCCTCAGACAGCATCTGGCTCTTGGCATGCAACCACTGCCCTCAAGTGGTAGGAGCTGCGCAGGACCTTTTACCAAGCTCCTTAGCTTTATATAGTGTAGGGACACAGACCTTTGCGCTGCGGGGGAAAGATGCTTGGGCATATGTGAACTATAAGAAAAAAAAAAGGAGAACGTTTAGAGAACAGTTGGGAACTTATCTTTTAAAGACTGAGTGCAGGAAGTGATCAAAGTAAGGAAAAAGCCTGTATTGCCTCAGGACGAAGCTAGCTGGGTGTCCTCGGGTCTGCCCAGAAGAGCTGTCCTGCTTCCCCGGCGAAGAGGTACGGAGCGGTGGCCCAGGCCGGGTGTGGCACCTGCTCCCTGCACTGCCACCCCTGCGCACCGCGACTGTCCCCGTGGGGCAAGGTGCCTGCAGATAGCCACCCAGGCGGCCCCAGGCACCGGAGCTTGCACCTTCTCCAGCCACGCTGCTTGGCACGACCTAGCTCCGGCCTCCACGAGCAGCTGTTTCGGAAATGAGCTGTAGTTATCTGGCCACATCTGAACACAGACGCCCAACTCCAGCACCTATGTAAAATGACTGGACATCCCCCTCATGAGTCAGGGCGAAACAGGGATCATCATTTATTCCGCTTCTCCTAGTGAGTCTCTCTCTTGGTTCCTCTGGCATTTCCTTTTTCAACTACTGGGAGCCAGCGGCAACTTTTGAGGAGCATAAAACTAGTAGGTTTTTTGTTTTTGTTTTTTTTTAAATCATCAGGATAGTTGAAACATTCTTCTACACTCCTGCAAAGACAAAGGAGGAGAGAATTACAATACTGCCATTTTAAAATCCTGAACTGCACTGACTTTGCCAGGGGAATTCTGTGGGCTGTAAAGGCAGACACATTTCATAAGCAAATTAATTGTTTGACTCGACCCTTCTTGCATCTTCTGATAAAATTCAGTGTACAGTTAAAAGACCCAGTCAAACACAGTGGTAACAAACATTTCCTTGGAAAGTCTGAGGATCTTTGGCAATAAAACGGAAGGGAGCAAGAAAAATACAGAAGGAATTGCTGCAGACTTTGCTCACGCATTTCCTACCAACTCTTACGGGCCTTGCCCATGCGCTACTCCAATAGCATTTATTTGTGCCTAGAAATCTTGCACTTGCCTAAGGAAAAATAAAACACTTCCTGTGCTTTAGGGCACCTCTTCCCACTTGCTTAGCCAGGACTCCAGAAAGGAGGTTATACATTACTATTTGCCTCACAGTGGCCACAGAAGCCTCAAAGAACCGCCTGCATGTTAGGGGGAGGGCGCATCTCCCCAGCACAGGCGGCGCGGGCCAAACAAGTGGTGTACCGTTTAAAGGGCACATGAGAAGCTGGCAGGCACAAGCATGGAGAGAAATGGGGAATTCTTGGTGTGGTTCTGTCCTGCTGCTTTTGCCTCTCTCCCACAGGGCTCCCAGCACTGCTCCATCCCAGTCTGATTGAGGATGCCCGTGCTGGGCTCAAGAGCTGCTGTTGCTGCTTTTCCTGCGTGGCACCCAGCCTAGAAGAAAAAGTTCCCAAACAAAATTAGAGCATGTGAGGACCAGGAAGAAAAGCTCTGACAGTCCTGCATGCCTCCAGTGACTTTTCCAGAGCAACTGGGTTGGAAAGGTTGCTGCCCACTGAGCTCTGAGATGAATAGAAATGATGAATACATTACTGATACAAGTAGAACAGAATTATAATGATCTTTAGTAAAGGATTAAAGTTTGGCCACACTGCAGCAACTCTCTCCCCCTCCCCCAGTTCAAATCCTTCCCTAATTCTGTGCCAGAGAGAAAAAGACAGCAGTCCTACAACAACACATACTCTGAGAATTTCACTATGTGAAAGACTCCTTTAGACATGGGCATTTTGTTCTGCAAGCAAAGGACAAGATTTTGCCAAGGGAAAAAGATTTTCTTGAATCAGAAGGACTGAAGAGTGTTACTGCTCACCAAGTTCAGCCAGGAATGGATGGAGCAGCAAGTAATCTCACCAAAGCCCCCTGAAGTCGTATTCGCAGGCATTTAAGGTAACAGTATTCACTTCACTCTGGTTTAATGTGTCTAGGTTTGTGTGTTTCTGTAGGGCCCCATGTCCGATCCTGGTGGTGGGCTCCAGTCAAATTGCTCTCTAAATGAAGGCAAAACCTGTAGAGGGGTCAGGGAGCACAGCACCTGCAGATGGGGCAGGCAGCGTGCCATTTCCTAGTGTGGCACATGCAGTGAAGCTTGTCCTGCTGCACAGCCAGGTGATGGGAAGTAGGGGGGGAGGGAGCAGAAGGGATCCCTTTGGCTTCTGTAGCAGTTGGATGAACAATCTTTGATAACTACCACTTTGGTCCCTCTTCCTGCCTCTGTGCCAGCTGCCCCTCTCCTATTTCCTTGCTCACCAAAGAGCTGCACCCTCACCATGACATGAAGCCTTGCACTGAAAGCAGAGGGCAAGTACCAATTTGGTGCAAAAGAGTGGGGCTAAAACTGCCTGCTTGACCTTGCTTGGAAAGCCTGGGCCATGCCAGTGCTGCTCACTGGATCATGGTGCAAGGTACCTCAGGCTGCACCATGCAGCCTGTGCACCCACACTGTGCACACTAGGCAGCGAGCATTGCTTTGCGCTGCAGGAGCTGGTCAGGGGCTCCTCCTGCACAGAACCTCCTCTTGATACTAAGGCAGGAATAACGTTTTGAACATTGGTGAAGCTTAGATAATTTATTCTCATGCAAGCGAAAAAAATACTAGACAATGTCAAACAGTGTATGTCTCTGTCCATGTCCTGGCTCTGACAAGAAGAAATAGCATCAGAAAAAAGGCATGAAAGCCCCTAACAGTTTACCAGAGAAACCACTTGTCCGTGGAGGTAGTTTCTTCCTAGCCTTCCTATTAAGTGATTTACGAGGTTTTATAAGCCTTGTTAAAAATGAAGTACCCTAGATGCATCACATCTTTAAGCATTGACCTTGGAGATATTTCACGGCCAAGAGTTCTTCTGGTTCATTTGGCTTTGTATGAAACGTCTCTCTCTATTGATTTTAAATGAGCCTCCCTCTCATTTTCACCAGCTCTGCCCTCGTTCACACACTGTGAGAACAGACACTGAAGAGGTGGGAGACCAGAGTGGAAGTAGAGGCAAGCTACACAGTGTATTACTTAAGTGAATGGCGCTCACATTTCATTGTTATGAAATAGAAATGGAAACTGGGCTTTGTGACGTGTTAATTGATTGTCTTTGTGAGTAGTAGAGATAGTCTGTCGTGATTCTGTACGTAAGGAGAAGCAAGAAGTTTTCAAGAAGCCGAGATTATAATCAACACAATCTCTCAAAACAGGCTGCAGCTTCAACAGCTGCTAAATGATAAGAGTCGCGGCCTGAAGGAGAGAAGGTGCAGACCACTGGCAGAAAAAGAGCTCAAATTTTGCTTGGATTTACTGGATGTTATTCAAATTTCTGAATCAATTCCTTTCTCACCTTGCCAGCTGCTTATGGAAGAAGGGACCTCTATACTCTTTGGCAGGATGAATAAGACCAAGGGAGCCTTTGAGAGCCCAGAGCTTTGGAGCCCAGGTCACACGCAGAGCACCTCCTCGATCAGCACTGCACCGCCATCTGCATTTGGCCAGCAGGCCACAGACAAAGCCCTGAATGGGATCCTTATTGTGGTCCTCTTCATCGTCATGGTATCTTTGGGGTGTACGATGGAGATAACCAAGATCACAACTCACCTCAGGAAACCCAAAGGGGTGGCAATTGCTGTAATGGCTCAGTATGGTGTAATGCCCTTGACAGCGTTTGTTTTGGGCAAGCTCTTCCAGCTAGGTACTATAGAATCCCTGGCCATCCTCACCTGCGGCTGCTGTCCAGGTGGAAACCTCTCAAACATCTTCAGCCTGGCACTAAAAGGCGATATGAACCTCAGGTAAGGAAAATTGAGCACATGTAAATTGCCCAGGCCAGTATAGTTGTATGATCAGTTCAGAAGCGAGCTTAATCAACATTAGCAATCCCCAAGAAGCTGAACAAAGGCCGAAATATGAAGTCTAGAATATTTTTAAAGCACACATTAGTCCACAAATCAATTTCTCCCTATTTTACAATACAATGGAATTCACACCTTCCTATGAAGCATACAATGTAAGTCACCCCTGACGAAATGGGTACTGGAGCACTTTTTCCACCTCCGTATAGTAGTACACATGCCTAACGTCGCCTCACTTCTCCATCATGCCAGTTATTGGTACACTGGAGACCGACTGGCTTTGCATGTAAACTGAAAGCATCGTCTGAAGAAGCTGCATCCGTGAGAAATGTAGAACTAGAAGCAGCCTTCACTCCAGCAAATGCTAGTGATATCCAGGGAAAAATATTGAGCATAATTTTGGGACTTCTGAATTTCTGAAATATGAGCTGTACCTGTAACAAAAGTCCTTTCTGAGTTTAAAATAGAACTTTTCTTCCCCTCTCTATTTGCATTAAGTCCTTCTACAAGCTGATAGTAGTGTTGAGGAAAGCTCAAAGACAGGCTGGAAAGAGCAAGGTAAAGTTTTAGATTAAAATAGTGTGCCCAGATTAGTAAGAAAATGAGCATAGTCTACCAAAGATGTTATTGTTATTTTACTGAAAGGTTCTTTCTTCCTCTCAGCATTGTAATGACCACATGCTCAACGGTCCTGGCAATTGGACTAATGCCTCTGCTTCTGTACCTTTATTCGGGAGGACTATATGACGGTGATCTGGAGGGCAAGGTGCCATATAAAGGAATAATCATCTCCCTGGTCCTAATGCTAATCCCCTGTGCCATTGGCATCATCTTGAATGAGAAGAAGCCACAGTACACCAGCTTGGTCGTCAAGGTAAGTGGTATCCTGAGCTAGTCACCTTTCAGCCGAGGGCCTGAAGGAAGCTTACAAAACTAGAGGTACAGAGAAATTAACTTCTTTAAGGCATGCACCAAACCAATGAGAGGGCTGAGTAGAGCACTCACCACCACTTTAGTTTTTAAACAGGATTTGGCAATTTAGCAACTTAGGTCTTCAACCCCTGCCAAACAGAGAGCATTTTGTAGGCAGCCTCCTACTTTGCTCTCTTCTGTTGGCTTCAGTTTTAACTTTGTATTTTCTATTGCTACATGCAGCACTAAAGACTGTTAATCAAGCAGGCCCAAGATACACAAAAAAATCTTCCTACTGTTCTCAGAGCTCTAGCACTGGGCAAAAGGCAAGCTACAAAGCTTCTGCTTAGAGCAAGGAGATACCCATGCAGCCAGATCCACTAGATTACTAAGCACCTGTTTAAGCCTGCAATCATCTCCCTACCCTCTTTGTACATCAAGCATTTAAACAGCAAAAGGGAAATCTGGACAACCAGGTAAACATTGCCTAACCCAGTGGCTTCAACAGCTGTAGCCAGAGAGCTGCTAACAGCTTCGCAAATCTGTTTTTCATAGCTTCTTTCACTAAGGCTCCATCTCATCCAAAATGGGACAAAGCTTTAGGTAACAGTACCCACACACCTGATGAAACGGTATTAGGAGTAGCCGAACTCCAAGAAGCACGGGAACCCAGGCGTCAGGCTTGAGCAAATGTAGGAGGACCATACCTCTTCATAGGTTCTTTTACTAAGCACAAGGGAGTGATGACCAGATTTCTAAAAGAAGTATTAAAAATCTGGAGTGAGAAGGCAACCTACACTGGCCCAGCTGACCCATGGCTCTTTTTCTTTTCTGCTAACACCATCTTCCTATTTCTCTTCTCTAGAAGAGAAGGAGAGAGTACAGTTGCTATAATAAACACCTGAGAACTCCGTCTAAATTAGACTCCAAAGTGGGGAGGCATGAGTTACGTATTCTGCCTCCCAAAATTCTCCGGGGACTTCATCTGCTGAATCACCAGGCCCCAGTGAGATGATCTGAAAACAAAGCTACCGCATTGTATACCTGCTGTAGGCAGGTTTTACTTGTGAGTAGCATGGTTTTCTCCCCAGCTACTTTGGGTGAAAGATATGTCATACTCGACCAACAGAGGGACCTGGGCAGAGCAACATACAGTCATGCCGCCTGAGAAACAAGTGGCTGGTGGACAAAACATCAAAAAATACTGGTCAGTCATTTTGCACACGTGCCAGAAAGGTCCTTATTTAAGGTCTTTCTAGTAATACCTCAAGATCGCTAAGGAAGCTGAAACATCTAACAGCATTGGTAAGTCTCTTGATTATTTGGTAACATTTAAGCCCATGAAAGGCACCTATGCACAACTGTGGATCTCTCACTATATGCTTACGTATATGAAAGATAGGACTGTGCACAGCTGCTTCCAACAATTGAGACACATTTTGATGAGGATTTTTGTCTTGTCTGTGTCTTGAATACTTTCATTTTAGACAGGCGTGGCTGTGCTTCTACTATCACCTGTTGCAATAATCATTCTGTCTGCGGTCAACGTTGGAAGCAGTATCACGGACACCTTCTCACCAGCGCTTCTGGGATCTTCTGCTTTGATGCCTTT